GTGGTGAGTTCTTTAATATTTTTTAAATTATAAAAAACTATTCTGGTTTCTGATATTAAAGCTAAAGCAACCATGTTAAAATAAACATGAAGTTACTCCTATTCTACATTTTATGGCTCTAACATTTAYAATGTTTCCTCATCTTGTCTTCAAAACAAAATGTTAAGTTTATTTCCTTACAGAGTTGTCTGGAGGGCGGTCTTCTTCTGTGTCTGAGGACTGCTCTGAGTCACTGCTGCCWTCTCTGAAAACACAGGTTTTAAACAAATCAGTTATTTCATTTCAGTTTTAAAGGTTCARCCACTTCACYGTCACTGATTATCTATTTTACTGAYATTCAGCGGAGAAGCAGAGTRACAGAACGTTGTACCAACTTCACTAGTTTTACAGCTAAACAGTACACTCTGTACCATGTTCTGCTTGCTTTTCTCATGCTATAGATGAATGAATACAAATACTACTAAAACATGTTCGTCATCTGTAAACATGATGCTTTTCATTATWTAGTATTTCCTGTAATAAAAGGAAGATTTTCCTGTTATTTTCCCATCCCAGTGGAACTAAATCTGGTAATTCCTCTGACCCTGAACTGGGATTCATATAAAAAAGTACTTTAAAAAACAGCAGAAATCACAGCTTTTCAAAGCCCAAAGTGAAGAGACATTCTTACCCGGTATCATTGTGGCTGCTTTTGGCTCTCTTGGCTAAATGTTTGGCCTCCAGGTCATTCAGATCAGACTCCTCCTTGACGGCTTCAWACACTTGGAAATTCACGAGGAGAAGAGTCGTTAGGTTTCCTCACGCAACATTAGGAACGTGAAGTGACTAATTAATAAAGCTTTAACRTGCTCGTTAGAGTCGAGACTTTATTAGATTTTTGTTCCTTTTGAATAATGGAGCAAATTGACGTCAGGTCATGCAGCCCCACCCCTTTTTGGTGAAAACAAAACAGAAAACTGGTGGTTATCAGCTGGGAACGGTAGTGTTTACCTCTCTAAACAGAGAGGGATGTTCAATTCAGCTGTTTTATTCTGCCACTATATACTTCTACAGACACCATGCCACATAAATAAAATCAGTTATATAGAAGTCATCAGTCACAAAAGCAGTATTTGACTTGAATAAATGCACCACTGTTATTTCTTAGCAAACTTAAAAAAAACCATGCACTTTTAACAAATACAAACCATCTTTGTATTTAAACAAATATACATACATTTTACTCATTTTGTCACAAACCTGACATATTTTTGACAGCGATTGTCACTCTTACCTTTTTCTACATGAATTCTGAAAGCCGTCTTGTTCCTCCTGCCGTAGTCCAGTCTAGAGACACAACATATAATCAGCAACGTTTGTGCTCATATTTACACACAACTTCCTGTTTAGTATAAGTTTGCAATAAAAACAGTGGTGGAGAAAGTACTCAAACGCTGTACTTAAGTACA